CTGAGCGCGGCGGGCGGGCGCGGCCGGAGGAGCCATGGACTGCAGCCTCGTGCGGACGCTCGTGCGCAGATACGTGAGTGCCGCCCGCGGGCCGGACGGGGACGGGGACCGGGACCAGATGTCGCCGCCGGCCGAGTCCCCGCGGGCCTGGGGCTCCGCCGCCCGGGGCCGGCGAGGATGGAGCTGTCGGCGCGCGGGGACTCTGGGGCCGGCGCAGGGCCGGGCCGGGGGCCCGGGTCCGGCCTTCGCGGTGGTTTGCGCGCGGACCGGCTCCGGGAGGGGTATTTGTGCAGGAAAGGCGGCGATGTTGCTTGTTTGTGGCACCGCCGGTGGCTCAGAAGTGAAGTTTGGAGTCTCTTCTTCCTGGAAGTGACCGGTGGGATCAGGCGGGGTGTCGGGGCCTCTCGGGGGTGGGGGGTGCGGTCGGGGGGCAGGGGGAGCTGGTCTGTGTACCGCGGGGCGGGGGGCCGCCGGCACGGGCGTGGAGGGTGTGTGGGTCGGAGCGCGCCGGGTCCGGCCCGCTTCTCCAGCAGGAGGCTCCTTGTCCCCGGCCGGTCGGTCACGGGTCTGCCGGGTGCACGCGCCGGGTTTCAACCAGGGAGGGCGTGATTACGGGAACCTGGTTTCTTCTGGTCCAGGAGGGGCCTTAGGCAGTGTTGCGCGTTTGTGAGCTCTCTTGGAGGAGGAGGCCTCGGCCGGGATGAAAGTGTTCACCCAGGGGGAACCCAAGTCAGTGCCTTTTTCCGGAACGCGCTCACTCACCACAGGACTCGGGAGCCCAGGGGCGTGTGCGCCCCGGCGTACCCCTGGGGGGTCAGCCCGCCTTACGTCTCGGGGCGAGAACTCTGGTTCTGGAGGGGCGGGAGAGGGTCTGACGCCCCCACCGATCCCGGAGCCCCAAGTCCATATCTAACGTCGGTGGGAAACATGGGGTGACACCTTTGGTTCTCTCCAGGAATAAGTTCTGGAAAACCCAATCGCAGTGACAGGAGGTCACCAGATAGGCAGGAGAAATGCTGTGTTGGGCAGGGGCTTCTGTTCTCAGCTGTGTCCCCCGGAGGTGGGGGTCCCTGCCTCGGTCCCCTCAAAGGGAAGGTGGGAAAGGGCGGTGGAGCTAGCGTTTACTTAAAAGTGCTCACTGTTTTTCCACGCATTTGCGTTCTCTTCCAGCTCTGACACTGTGATAGAAAAGAGGGTTGAATTGTGAGAAGTCACGTGCGGTCCGTCTCCAGGAGAGGTGAAGGGTGGATGGGCCGTCTTCCCTCTGCTGCCGAGGCTCACTGCCCGGCGGGTCCGACCTGTCCCCCAGTTCCTGACTCCTCCATCCTGGGAGCCGCAGACGCGTGTCCGTAGTTTCTGCTGCTTTTTCCTCCCTTCCTTCCTGCAGGCCTTCTGCTGTTGTGTGTCACATCAGTCTATGTAAATTTCAGTGTAGTTTACATTTTTAAATTCCCTTTTACCATGTTATTAGACTTAGGAAATCAAATTTTCTGTCTAACCTAAGTGGTAAATATTCTTTAATGAACTTTCTCAACATATGGGTTGTTTGGTAATGTCCCTGGAATGCAGGTTACGGGAGACTATTATTTCTGTTTTTCTCATTCCACATCTTTTTTTTTTTCTCAATCTGAGCCTTAGGCTGCTTCATCACATTTACATACAAAACCATTCATTTCTATGGTATTAAACTCATGTCTATGCTATTAAACTAATTTGACTTTTTCCAGAAACAGTCATGCTCTGTTTTCTTGTAATTTGGTTATCTTTTAATACATAGGACCAAATTATATTTCCTTTAGCTAGTGGGAAGAAAAGAGTGTAGGATTGAATATTTATGTTTCCTCGTGGTTTCCTTGCGTGACTTATTCTATAAAAATGAGTGGACGACTTGTACCCTGTCCCCTTCTGGTGTTCACAGAGTCAGAATTTCTGGGACAAAGATGACTTTTCAGCTCCCTCTGATGCATGAGAGTTGCCAGAAGATAAAGAAGTCCTTGGAAAACATTGCTATGGGTATTTTATTCTGGGTTTCTTCCAGCGAATAGGCAGATGAATGGGAGCGTTCTCTTCCGGGTTAGGCCGTATGTTCTCCAAAGCTTGTATTTGTGATTGTTTGGGGTTTGGATGGACATAAGCGTGTGGGGATATTTTGTGTTCATAAATGGCACAGTGCTTATCTACCATGAAGTGGCTTGTGTATCATGAGGTAGTTCGACCTACTTAAAAAAAATATTTTTTAGCAAAGTGGATGGAGAGCTAGTGTCATCTCTGTGTTAGAGATGTGAGGTTGGAAACTAGGCCGAGGTAGTTTAAGTTCTTACAGAAACCAGTGGAGCCCACGGGTGACCTGGAGATTCTCCGGGTGCCTGCCTGCCTGCCTGCCTGCCTGCCTGTGACCCCGGCCTGCCCACCTTTTAGCTGGGTGACCTTGGGCACATGGCTCAGCTTTGTCTCTGCCTTGGTTTTCTCGTCAGAGAATAACAGTCTTACCCATTTCATAGGGTTGTTACTGTGAGGATTAAATGAGTTAGCACAGGTCAGGAGCTCAGATGGTGCCTGGCCCCAGGAAGTGCTCTGGGAATTCGTGATGACTTGCTGTTAAGGTAATGTAGTTGCTGGGTGGGTTGGCTGGAGTCAGCGAGCCGTTCTGTTGGTTGACTGCGGGCCAGTCCTGGCCAGCAGGGCCCTAGGATGCGTTCAAGGATAACCTGGGCGCCCTGCTATTCAGCGTGTGTGGGGCTCAGATGGCATTGGAAGACTTTAAAGCAAGGTGTGCTAAAATCCTGCAGGCCGGGCAGAAAGTCTGCAGGCCACATTTGGGCATAAAACTTATTTACGGGTAAGCATCCCAGGCCAGGATAGGTTTTTGCTTTCTATGTGTCTTACATTTTAAGATATTAGACTTCTGCAAATCTGAAGGTTTTCCTGGCTGACAGTAGATATTTGTTTTTGAGCAAACTGTTTGTTACATTGGGATTTTCTTTATAAAGGAAAAACAGATCTTTTTCGTCCCTGGAGAGCTTTCGGCATGGCTATATTAGAGCGCCGTGAACCTTCCAGGAGGTTCAGCCGCGTACGTGCACGAACATGTGCTGCTGCTGTCTGTTTTTTGTTGGTTTGTGACGTGAACGTCAGTGTCCACCTGCGGTGCCTGTTGTAAAAGGCGGATTTATTAGTTTGACTCAATTATTCCAGTCTTTGTTTTAAAAACTTAAAATGCTGCATGGTTTTGGAGTTGTGTCTGCTAGTCCAGCATCAGACGGTGCAGTAGAGCCTGCCTGTTGTCCAGCCCCTGCAGTCTACATCGCGGGAGCTCTAACCACTGAGACCTTCATGGGTTTGAAGTAGGTGAGCCCTGGGCGAGTTAGCCAAGACTAACAGCTGGTTCCCCTCCGGCCCACGGAGCAGGGCTGCAGTGTGGCCTCGTAAAGTGTTCACACACAAGTCTACCAGGCCCCGTACCTGGACGTTTTAAAGCAGTCTGCCTAGATGTATAATTTAGCCTTTATGTTCTAGCTATTACATTAACTCCTTCCATTGTTCTTCAGACCCTGTTTAATGTCTGCTTATTAGGAACAGGGGATCTTGAGATGCTTTTATTTCCTGCCAGAGGGTACATTTAATAACACTGGGAAAAGGAGTTTGTATTATTGGGTTTTGCCACAGTCATTAAATTTCTAGGGATGAGAACACTGTCCTCAGTTTACACTTGGTTAAAACTGCCTGAATGCACTGAGGGGCATACCTTGCTGCTGGACCACACAGGAAGTCCTCTGTTTGCAGACGTGCCGGGCTCCAAAGCCTCAATACAGATTGTTCCTTGGTGCTTGGACCACATGTTCCGATAGAAATAGGGTTAAGAAGAGGATTGGATCCCCAAGTCCCAGACTTATAAATGCTTTTATAACCAAGTTAAATGCAGGCAAAAATGCTATTTATTAGCAGTGAAAATCAATGGAAAGCAACTTGTACCGCAGTAGACATTCAACAAGATTGAACAAGGATTGTTTTTGCTTTTACTTGGATGCTGGTGTCTGAGAAAAACAAATTAGTAGATCGCGGACGTCAGAAGTTCAGCCTCAGAGTCCAGCAGGCTCGGGTTCAGCCCGTGCCTCGGCCGATGACCGGGAGACCTTGGGGGCACTGGCCAACGTCTTCATGCTTGGTTTCCCCGTCTTGAAATGGAGCTGGTTAATGTGCCTCCCTGGTGTTCTCGTAGCTAGGTGCTCAGTCTCCTTTGAAACGTGGCCTTAATGCTGCTGGGCAGCCTGCACTTCTCAAGGAGACTGCATCTCTCCTTTCTCAGACCTCTCAAGCCCCTTCCTCCTCCTCATGTGGAGCCGGTGACCTCTCCTCGTGGGTCATGGAGGGAGCAGCAGTCATCAGACAGGACGCCCCTCTCCCACGCACCCCACCAGCCCTTCCCTGTGTACGCTCCTGCCTCTTCGGGTTTGGGGCAGGGACCCCGTTCTGATAAAGGCTTGGGCCCTGGGTCTCCCCCATCCCTCTTTCTCCTGAATCCTCAGTGCCTCCCTCTTTAGGGTCATTTCATCTAGTCCCGGGGCACGCAGTCCACTCTTGAGATTGCCTTTTCTTAAAGAACAAACTGTCTTGACCCCAAACTCCCCTCCTGCTGTCACCCACTTCTGTCTCCTTCTCCTAAATGTCTTTAATGTGGCTGACACCTCTCTGTCCTCCTTTCGCATCTCTTCTCACTCAGGTGGGCACTCTCATCACTGTCTCCATCATCTCCGAGGTGGCCCCGGCCAACAGTCGCCTCTCTGCCCTCATGCTGGACCTCAGTGCCTCAGTGTTTCATATACTCACAGCATGCACCCCGTGTGCGCCCGTGAGCCAAACAGGAAGAAGACACCAAGTCCCCGTCCCTGTGGCGCTTACCTTCAGGTGGGGAGCCAGGCAGGAAACGGATCACATAGACACACGTTAGAGTGTTCGGGGTCACTGGAGTGGAGCCGGGTCCTCGGGCCTCGCTGAGCGGTGGCGAGAAGGGATGAGGGGTCGGCCACGCGGGGGTCCGGCAGGTTGTCCCAGGCCGAGAGAAAGGCTGTGCAG